TCGAGTGGGTGTGAAGTGGGCCGAGTGCTGGTTCTCGTTTGTGCTGCCCGATGCCTGGCCGGCCACGCGCCTTCTCGTGCTCACTGGCCGCCCTGTGTCTTCTCTGGAGAAACCTTTGTCCAGATCCTTGGTCCATTTTGAGGAAATATATTTTTATTGATTTCAGAGAGGAAGGGAGAGGGAGAGAGAGATAGAAACATCCATGATGAGAGAGAATCGTCCATCGCTGCCTCCTGCACGCCCCACGCTGGGGATGGAGCCCGTCACCGGGGCATGTGCCCGGCCCCGACCGGGAATCCAACCGTGACCTCCTGGTTCATAGGTCGACGCTCAACCCCTGAGTCACGCCTGCCGGACCCTTTGTCCATTTTTAAATTGGGGTTTTATCTGTTCATGATCGGATTGTGAGTGCCCTTTATGGATTCCTGATGCGAGCCCCTGATCAGATAGGCGATTTGCAGAACTGTTATCTGATGCCGTCGGCTGTGTTTTCGCTTTCCTGATTGTCCTTCGCAGTGTTTCATTGTGGCGAGCCCACTTTATCTTTTTTTTTTCTTGGTTGCTAGTGCTTTTGGTTTTGTTCCAAAGTCGTGAGGATTTACGCCTGTTTTCTCTCAAGAGTTTTATAGTTTTAGCTCCTGTGTTTAGGCTTTTGATCCATTTTGAATTAATAATTGCGAGTGGTAGGAGGTAGGGTCCACCTTCAGTCTTTTCCATGGAGGAGCCCGAGGGAGCTGGGAGCCGGGGCCGGGATCTGAGTGCCGTGGGAAGGGACGCAAGGCGGCCAGGGAGGGACGGTGCCGGCGGCCCAGGTGCCTAGACACACCACGGCCTGGGGCCAAGGGCAGGGCCCGGGGCAGGCCCCAGGGGGCAGGGAGGGGCAGGGCTGGGTGCCTGGTGGTCCATGGGTGCTGGTGGGGCCATGGGTGCTGGTGGGCCATGGGTGCTGGTGGGGCCATGGGTGCTGGTGGGCTGGGTAGAGGGGGAGCCAGGAGTGTTCTCAGCTGAGGCGAGGAAGGCCCCCTGGGAAGATGGGGCCGCTAGCCTGCAGGGCCTGCGCACCTTCACCTCCCTCACGTGTGGGGAGCTTGGGCAAAGGGACCAGGAGAGGAGGGACCTAGAAGGACAGTGGGCTGGGGGGACAGCTGGGTTCTGGAAGTTCTGGACCGCAGGGTGCGGGGAGGGGGGGGGCAGCTGGTGGAAAGCAGAGGGTGGTGTCCCCAGCAGGTGTCCTTGAGCACGAGGCCACTATCATCTTTATTCTGTTCTTCTTGGTTTTCACATGAGTGTGCGTGCTGACCTTTTGAAACGTATCTTTGTTCTTTTTCTGAGTGAATGAATGACTACATGGGAAGCTCATGAAGCAGGCGGGGGATTAAGTATCCAGAGATACAATGAGCCCCACTGTTGCTGTCACCACAGGACTCACCCCTGAGCTGTGTTCCCGGGCTGCGTAACAGAGTGACACGGGCTAAGACAACAGAAACGGATTCTCTCACGGTTCGGGAGGCCAGAAGTCCAAAACCAAGGTGTCGGCAGGGCTGTGCTTTCTCGGAAGGCTCTAGAACAGCGGTTCTCAACCTTCTGGCCCTTTAAATACAGTTCCTCATGTTGTGACCCAACCATAACATTATTTTCGTTGCTACTTCATAACTGTAATGTTGCTACTGTTATGAATCGTAATGTAAATATCTGATCTGCAGGATGGTCTTAGGCGACCCCTGTGAAAGGGTCGTTCGACGCCAAAGGGGTCGCAACCCACAGGTTGAGAACCACTGCTCTAGAACCTTTCTGGCCTCTCCCAGCTCCTGGGGGCCCTTGGCATTCCATGGCTTGTGGCCACATCCCTACAATCTCCGCCCCCATCTTCACATGGCTTCCCTGCGTGTCTCCTCTTCTCTGTCTTATGAGGACACGTGTCATGAGATTTAGAGCCCGCCGACCAATCCAGGGCGATCACCCGAGATCTGTAATTACAGTTGCAAAGGTCCTATCTATATATATAAAAGGCTAACATGCTAAGTGTCCGACCGTCTGACCGGTCACTATGACTCACACTGACCACCAGGGGGCAGACATTCAATGCAGGAGCTGCTGTGATGCACACTGGCACCATGGACCTGGCACCCACAAACCAACACTCAGCTTCCCCCAAGTGGGACACAGGCCCCGCCACCATCCCGGAGTGACACCTCACCAAATTGCAGCCAGCGCTGCCAAGAACCCCTGGCACAAAATGCAGCCCACAGCCCAGTCCAGCCCAAAACGGTTGCTGTGGGCACCGGGTAATGACGTCATGTAGCAACGCCCAGCTTCCTCTCCATAGCAACTAGCCTCCTTGGAGTTTCTTCAGCCCAGGAACACGACTTGCTTCATAGCCAGGTGCAGACGTTTCACACTTTCACCAAATGTCTGTGAAGCGTTTTCCATGCCTCATCTCATTTGATCCTCACAGAAGTCCTGGAGTAGGTAGATAGGAGACTCGGTGGAATCCTATTTTCTTTTCATTAGCCAGAAAATGGAGATTTAGAAAGTTTAGAAACTTGACCCGACTGAAAAGAAGTAAGAAATGGTGGGCCTTGAAAACGACTTCAGGTTTTCTCACTGCGCAGAATATAGTCAAACGCTGCTGCAGTTAAATATTTTACCCTTTGTTCTCCCTGGGTGATCTACAATAATAATCTGCTTTTTGTTGATATTTACTGCTGTGTTGCTGACAATTACCTGAAAGAGAAGTTGGGGTGCTTCACTGGGCTGGAAAAAGTTTAGCTGCATCAGAAAGCAGGTCTAATTAAGCAAGTTTATTCTGTATCTATAAAAGGCTAAGTTGACTGGCACGTGCTCGATACATATAAAGCTCTCACTGGCACCAATCGCACCGTGTGTTTCTGTCTTTGCCGATCGTGAATTTGGTTGACACTTGTATTATAGAGAAAGGGCGAACAGCAATATTAAAATATTTCTTCTAATTAATTTCCTTTAAATGTGCACGAATCTGTGCACCGGGCCACTAGTTCCAAATAAGATCACCAGTCACAGGGTACCAGGGGGTTTAGACGTGAACTTATCTTTCGGGGGGCCACCATTTCATGCCCTCCCCCAACCCCACCCTGCCCTGGTTTGGGTGGATGTTTTGTAACACTTTCCACATCTTTTTTTTTTTTTCATTGATTTCAGAGAGGGAAGGAAAAAAAGGAGAGAGAAAACATCAGTGATGAAAAGAGAATCATTGATTTGGCTGCCCTTCTGCATGCCCCCACACTGGGGATTGAGCCCGCAAGCCAGGCATTGTTGCCTGACGGGGAATGGAATTGTGACCTCCTGGTTCACAGGTCGACGCTCAACCACTGAGCCACACTGGCCCGGCTGTTTGTTGTTTTTTTAAAAATGTGCACATTGTGCCCTGGCCAGGTGGCTCAGTTGGTTGGAGCATCATCCCTTGCACCAAAAAGTTGAGGGTTTGGATCTCAGTGGGGGCACAAAGCTAGGTTGTGGGTTTCTCACATTGATGTATCTCTCTTCTCCATCTTCCTTCCTCTCTCTCTCAAATCAATAAACATGTCCTCAGGTGAGGATTAAAAAAAATATGCAGTGTTTTGTCATATAATTTAATTTATTTGTAATTTTGTAATTAAATATGATAAAAAATTTTAAGAACAGGGCCTGCTTAAGGCAAAGATGACCTTTAAAAAATATTTTTATTGGTTTCAGAGACGAAGGGAGAGGGAGAGAGAGATGGAGACATCAATGATGAGAGAGAACTATTGATTGGTTGCCTCCTGCACGCCCCTTACTGGGGTTCAAGCTTACAACCAGGGCGTGTGCCCTGATTGGAACTCAAACCGTGACCTCCTGGTTCACAGGTTGATGCTCAGCCACTGAGCCACGCCGGCCGGGCTGATGATGAAATATTGTGGACACACATAACTTCTTTTTACTTACTGCTAATTGGACATCTTTCCACAACATTAACTTACAATATAATATTCCTCTAAATGGTAACCCTGTCATTATTTAAGCGAATCCCCTGTCATAGAACATTAAGGTTATTTCTATTTTGTTTTATTCTCTGGGATTAGAAACTGCCGCAGTGAACAGTTTGTAGCTGGATTGCTGTGCGTGGCCACGGCAGTTGTTACACATGGAATTTCTGGGTCAGAGGGTACACACAATGTCGGCTTTATCTCCGCCCAACACCAGTGTCCACCCCTCGGATTGGCAGAGGTCCCACACCTGGATTTCTGGGCGGTGGTGGGGCAGCGTGGGAAACGGGCCAGTGAGCGTGTCTGTCAGATCTGAAAGCGCCTGTTCAGGCGACAGACGTCGCTGGAGGACGGGGCTGTGCTGCACGCCCAGGCGGAGACCTCCATGTGCCCAGGCAGAGGCGCCGCATTTGTGTTCAAAGGGGGGAAACCATTGCCCGGCCGGTGTGGCTCAGTGGTTGAGCGTCGACCTGTGAATCAGGAGGTCACGGTTCGGGGGTTCAATTCCAGGTCAGGGCACCTGTCCGGGTTGCGGGCTCGATCCCCATTGGGGGGCATGCAGGAGGCAGCCGATCAATGATTCTCTCTCATCATTGATGTTTCGCTCTCTCTCCCTCTCCCTTCCTCTCTGAAATCAATAATTTTTTTTTTTAAAAAGGGGAAAACCAAGAATCCTGTTCATGTGCCCGATGTTCCCTAAAGAAATTCCAGAGGATAAACGGGAATTGGGGAACCGTGAGCCCCCACGCGTGTGGGTGGGGAGGAGCCGTCAGGAGGGGCTGGCAGTGCCCTCGGTGGTGGTGGTGGCGTCGTTGGGCGAGGATTCTGTTCGCATACAGTTACGTGTCTCAGTGTTCGCTGGGTGTCCAAGCGGCTTCTCCCCGCAGTGCCTGAGGGCTCGCCCCTCACCCGCCGCTCCCTGCCCGAGAGCTTCACCCACGGCGCGTGAGTGCGCAGCGAGGTGCGGGGCAGAGTACAGGGCCATCGGGCGGGCCGCAGGTGGGTCCGAATCGCAGTTTTGGCAAATGCGTCCATGACCTTGGGGACCTTCTGGACGTCACTTCCCCGGCCCGTGTATTCCTGTGTGGTGCTGGCTTTCTGCCCTTAAGTTCCTCCTGGTGTTTAGTCATCACATTCCACATTATTTTTTAAATGTCTATTGATTTTAGAGAGAGGAAGGGAGAAGGACAGAGAGAGATAGAAGCATCGATTGGCTGCCTCCTGCAAGCCCCACACTGGGGATCAAGCCCACAAGCCAGGCATGTGCCCTGACCAGGAATCGAGCCAGCGACCTCCTGCTTCATGGGTTGATGCCCAAGCACTGAGCCACGCCGGCCGGGCCACAGGACTCTATCCTGCATGGCTGATGAAGGCCCCCTCCCCCCGCTGTTGCGGGCCCCTAAGAACGCCCTTGGGCCTCTCAGAGGTGGGCTCTTTTGTTGGTTTAGACAGATCAGTGTGGCTTGTTTGGGTGCTGAGAGGAGCGCAGTCCCGGTCCTCCTGTGGCCCCGCTCACCTGGGTCCACCTACAGGCAGAGCCAAGGCCGCCGCCAACCGCAGAGGGGCCCAGAGGGCCCTTAGCCTCGGCCCAGAGGGCCCTTAAGGCGGAGCTGAGGGCCTGAGCCTGCGCTGAGGGGCACTGGCTTGCTCCCCACTGGCACCGCCCGACCTGCCGTGTCTCTGCCTGAGTGGCCAGAAGGCGTCTCGGGTTTGGAGGGACATCTGTTCTGGGGTTACCAGTGCGTCCTATTCCCTAGAGCACTGGCCGCTTCTTACAACCGGAAGTGTCGATGCCTCTTTGTCAGATGACTTGTCCGCGTTTTTGAGCTCAGCGTACATATTCTTCCTTAATCCTCACCCGAGAATATTTTTCCCATTGATTTTTTTAAGAGAGAATGGGAAAGAGGGAAGAAGAAGGAGAGAGAGAGAAAGACATCGATGTGAGGAGACGCATGCATTGGT